TCTATAATTTACAAAACATGTAACCTTGAGCAAATTGCTTAAAGTTTGCATGCCTCAGTTTCTTCTCTTATAAAGTAAGGATGATTATAGTAGTTTTATCATAGTTGTCATAAATCTTAAGCCACCATATCTACAGACAGGAGAATGGGTACAGGGGTGAGTTCTCCGTCAGTGCAGACATTCAAGTTTAGGCTGGACAGCCACATGGTGGGGATGTTGCATTGGACTGAATAACTGCTGAGATCCTTTCCAACTCTGATTATCCTTTGAAAAAGAAGGCTCACAGCCAAAGAAAAAGAATCCACTTTGAGATAAACCCAATTGGCTCTCCTTTGGAAAAGGAGGCCAAATGCATACAATCTATTTAAAACTAAGATGAAATAGGCCACACCACCCTTGTTGTTGACTCAGCAGCTGGAGAGTCGTGGCCAGTGCCCTGGATGTCGAGTCAGGAGACCTGGGCTGGAATTCCAGCCCTGCTCTCAGCTGTGCGGTCTTGGGCCCCTCAAGTGCTGGATACAGTTTGCAGTTTCTTCACTGGCAAAATGGGTGTAATTTTTTTTTCCTCAAAAGGTACTCATGAAGATTAAATGAGCCAACCTGAAACTGCTTTGAAAATGGTAAATCATAGAATGAACAGAGGTGTTATCATTTCCAGAGCTCAAATTACACTCTACGTCATTAGTTCTGAAAATAACATATGTAACCTCAGACACTGGCTGAGACTAAGCCATTATTTTAAACATCATGATAGGCGTAGAAGCTGGAAAAACTGCCATTTCAAAAGTTTTTGAATATTTTTCTACCACTCAAGAGTGGAGACTCCAATTTGCCTTTGAGGCAGGCAGTGGCTTTGTTCTGAAAAAAAGAAAATAAAAGCAAACGAAAAAACATAGCACTGGGTCATATTTGTTTATGCAAATATAAATCAGCTCTCACCTATGATTTTTAGGAACAGTGAGGTCAACCTCAACTTGAATGCTGATCACCTTAGACTCAATACTTGACTGCTTTTTTTCCCCTAAATGAGCCAGATGCATCTTCTATCAGAGCTTTTGTCTGCAAATTTTCACTCAAATATTTATTGACAGTAACTCTTTGCCAGGTGAGTTAGTGTTGACAAGTCATATATGTTCCTAACAGGGTTCATGGGCTATATAATAGGAAACAGAAAAAAAATAAGCACAAATTACACAAATAATTTATAAAGATAAATGTCCCAAAGGCAATGAGGAATTAAAGTACTCTGACAGTCTATAGCAGAGGACCATTAAATGTGGAGTTGGCAAGGTTTTCCTAGGAAAGGAATATTGAAGCTGAACCTTCAAAGAGGAAGAGGAGCTACCCAAGTGGGAGAGGCCAGGTGAGGGCAGAAAGCTCAGGAAATGTTTCTTTGTTGTTTCCTTGAAGATAAATGGTTTTTTTTTGTTCCCCTCTCTGGGTGAGTTTAGATTACAGTGTCTATAAATAATTGCTCATTCTTAGCAACTTCTGTGTGTTCTTCTCTGGATAAATGTTATCAAGAGAAGCAAGCTGAGATGAAAAGGACTCTGTACCAGCAAGGAGATGCAGCAATTTTTACGTCTCGTCCTGGAGGAGGTGGCATGCAGGGAACAAGACTGGGCTCAGTACTGAGCGGTTGAAACTGGACATCATGGACTGCAGTCTTGTTGGTCTGATTATCTTACTAGCTTCACTGGCGCCCAAAGGCAAGGTCACTGTCTGAGTGACACTGGATTTACACCTTATTTAAGTGGATAATCCCACTGTATCATCCCGTGCGAAGCTTAATCCTGGGACAGGAAATGAAGACTCACTTTCTGTACCTATAATTGAAGGGTACTCTTGAACCCAAACCTAAAAATAACCATGACCAGACGTGGTTGTTATGAGGTGTTCTGTGATGTGCTTTCCTTCTTTCTACCTCCATCTCTTTCTACATTTTTTAAATTGAAATACAGTTTATTTACAATGTTGTGTTGGTTTCTGGTGTACAGCATAGTGATTCAGTCATACATATTTATGTATGCATTCTTTTTCATATTCTTGTTATAGGTTATTACAAAATATTGAGTGGAGGTCCCTGTGCTATACAATAGGACCTTGCTGTTTATCTATTTTATATATAATAGTTTGTATCTGCTAATCCCAAACTTCCAATTTATCCCTCCCTACCCTTTCCCTTTTGGTAAACACAGTTTGTTTTCTATGTCTGGGAGTCTATTTCTGTTTTGTAAATAAGTTCATTTTTCTCATTATGTTAGATTCCACATATAAGTGATATGTGATATTTGTCTTTTTCTGTCTGACTTCATTTAAAAGATTATCTCTAGGTCCATCCATGGAAGTAACCTAAATGTCCACTGGCAGATGATTGGATAAAGAAGATGCGATAAACACACACACACACACACACACACACACACACACACACACACAATGGATAATACTCAGCCATAAAAAAATAATGAAATAATGCCATTTGTGCCCCATCTTTTAATCACTTCCCACTGGAAGCCAAAGCTGATCTCAGCTGTGCTCTGCTGACTCAGCAGAACCTTCTCCTCCATACTTGGGAAGGTGTGGCCGAGAGGGGAGTCCCCTTCTGGAGTGAGAACAGTGGCACCAGCAGCATCGTGCATAGAAGACAGTTGTGTCCAGCAACATAGTGACCACACAGCGGTCAGAAATACAGTGAAAATGTTGAATTTTACCCTGGCTTTGTGACCCTGTAAAAACAGCGGTGGCTAAGAGACCTCCCACCCATTCTTTAGTGTTCTGGGAAATGGATTACTGCAAAGAAACATCCTTCCCCAAATGATGTAAGTAAGATTCACAGATACAAGACCCTTGTATCCATATGATGAACCCAGACACAAACACCTCAGTTCTCATTCTTTGACTCATGATTGGTGATGATGCTTTCCTCTGCCATCGATCAGAACAAAATGCATATTAACCCAATTTTGATTAAGTTTATTTCCGCCCCTTAAGACCCTGAATTCTGACCTCAGCCTGAGCCGGCATCCAGATACCCACTCCCTCAAAAATAGGCTGGTGGCAGCATTCTATGATCTGCTATCTGATCGAGCCATCCTTTCATGCCACCTGGTTATTTCTAGCCTTGTTTATTTCCCAAGAAAGAAAAACTCTCTTTGGCTAACCTTGATCATAAACCTTGCTGATCATATGGTCAG